GGTAGGTCAGGTATAGCTGACCAACTTGAGCGGGGGCTGTGGGGGGTTCTAAATATACGTCAAGAAAAGGTAAATCTTGCTTTGCACTTTGTGGATATTAAACATTAAATACAACAATCACCAACAACATAAAGTCCTTACCCAAAAAATCTATAGATGCTCGAATAACAAATTTGTCAAAAATATGAGGAGTGAAAAAGAGGATCTTGAAAAAGGGCATTAGCATTAGCCATAGAATTCCTTAGGTGATAAACAATATCAAAATCATATATCTTAAGCTTCAAAGCCCATCAAGTAGTATGACTAACCAAATTTTTCCACTTCAATAATGAAGTAATTACAATATGATTTCTTTTTAGGAATGTTCAAGAACTATATAAATATGCATGAAGTTTCTTGAAACCCCAAACTACTATTAAACACTCCTTCTCTATCATGGAGTAGCTCACCTCCATTAGTTATAACATATGATTGATGTATGCAATGGGATGGTGTTCACCAAATACACTCGAGCTCTTTTTCATCAACATCTCCAAAATTGATATCAAAAGCATCCATACGCAAAATAAAAGGTTGAGTGCAGTCAAACTATGCCAAAACTAAATGAGTCATCAATAGTTTTTTGAGATCTATAAACGCCTACTCACAGTCCACAAATCAGATGAAAGATGACATTGACAACTTCAACAATATTTGCAACTTTGTAATATAATTAAAAAGGTGATCAACGAAATGGCTAAGATATTGCACTTTCTCTAAGAAGTGTTGCACATCATTCACACATTTTGGAATACGAAACTTAAAAACACCCATAAGTTTGTTAAAATCAACTTGCAAACCTTCATGAAAAATATAGTACCCAAGTTAAGTCATGTTTTTAGACTCAAACATGCACTTTGATTACTTTAGCTTTAAACCAACTTCCCGCAATCAATTCAACATTTTACAAACATTACAAATGTGTTTCTCCCACCCCTCCAAGTGGATCAAGACATTATTGATGAAGTCAATAATCACTTTTAACATATTATAAAGAACCTTATTCATCATCAATTAGAAAGTTGCTAAAGCATTGATCAAAACCAAATAGCATTACTAAGAACTTATACAAATTAAATGGTGTACAAAAGGTAGTTTTGGGAGTATCTTTCTTGGCCATTAGCACTTGTTAGTATTTAAAAGTAAAACTTAACTTGGTAAATAATGACTTCTCCTTAGATGATCCAAGAGATTAGTAGTGTGAGGAAGGGTTTAAAACCCTAAACTGGAATTATTATTTCATTTAAAAGACAATAGTTGATGCAAAAATGAATATTCCCATCACATAAGATAAGGTTCACATGCTTAAGGATTTTGCAATTTTTGAATAACACCTTTTTCCAATATTTTTTTGACGTTTACACTTAAAATTTTGATCTCTTTTGGTGATTGACAACAAATAGGAACTTTGATTAGACAAGCATCTCTTGTTGGAATAAAATGAGTGCTGCAATCTTGGCCCCAAATGATAGGACAAATTCAAAAAGATTGACATACTTCTTCATGAGCTAGTCAACTGTTGCAATACAAAGACTGTCAAAGGGATCTAAAGAAAGAATAAAAGAACAAGATGTGACACACAAATCCCAAAGCCCCAAAAGTGGAGCCAAAAGGGGGGGAGGGCTACAAAGGTTTCCAAAATTATAGTAGAGAGAGTGTGAGGGTTGGACTTTAGTGGAACTAGTTTAGTTAGGAAAGGCTAGTGTGACCTAGGAAAGTTATACCCATATATTGGGTGATGATACATCCATTGAGGGGTCCAAGACTAAAGTGAATATAAACAAATAAATGGGGTAGCTTAGTGATGTGTTCAAGAACAAACTTTAGCTCCCTCAGGAAATCGAATGGTCGATGCTCTCAATCCAAGTGTGGGTGGCACTACTTACTTGGATACCTGGTGTGGCTTATCAGAACCTCGCTTTAGCCACATGGCTAGGGCACCCAAAAGCAGAAGGTGGAAAGAGTATCTACAAGGCTTGTATAGGGCCACAATATTTCGAAATGTTATTCTAGAGTATTAGTCTAAGGAAAGGAAGAGGAGTAGTCCTCTTATGTGGTGATCAAAGATGCAGTCATGTGGCAAGGAAGTTCCAGAGGTTAGTAGGACATAGTGGTCTAGCTTGTGGGCTTCGACCTAGTGGCAATGTTAGCAAACATAGCCATGAATGAACACTTGGTGGGGACCAAAAAAGGGATATTGGGGAAGGCTGATCCCCATGCCTACAAGCATTATAAAGATGCCAAGGAGTGGATCTGGGATGATCACTCATGGACAGATGGCTTAGACTTTGAGAGATAGGGTTGTGATATAGATGGTGTTGGATCATTAGTGTGACAAAGGTGAATGGGCATGGCCTTAGCATAACAAGTTGATATGTTAGTGGTACCTTTGGGTGTCAATCATAGGATTGGACATGTGGAGCACTTGGACTAAGTGCAAAGGCTAAATGGTATAGATGCCATTCACAAGGCTAGCATGTCCCTAAGTTCTAAATAGGACTTATAGAGATTATGAGGGAGACTTATCCAAATGGTTAAAGATGTGGTTAAGTGACTAAAATAGAATGAAAAATTTAATCACTTATACAAGCCAAAAATATAAAAGAAAGTAATAAGGAGATAAAAGTGATGGAAGCAAAGAAACGAAGAAGAACAAAAGTGAAAGGAATAAAAAAATATAAAGAAGTATGAAACAAGTGGGAGAAGCTTCAAAGTCACACTTGGCATGATTGCACTGCAATCAATCCATATTAAAAATGAGGTTAAAAGCTTGACTTGGCACCACTTGCAAAGACTGCAACTCAAGTTTGAGATCGCTAACATGCACAACTAAGTTTGCCTCATTTTATGCACATGCGTGTGTATAGCCATTGCCATAAGGAATGAAAACTAACTCTACTGCATAACATAAATGTAAATGACAATTTGTGGCAACATGCCAAGCAATAAAAATTAAATTTAAGCATGTATCAACCAATACAAAGAGAATAATAAGAGATATTTTGTTATAAAAATGAGCTTGGAAAGTAAATACTAAATGAACTAGTACTGAGTGAACCCTTGATGATACTCCCGAAAGAAAGATAAAAAGGTTATTAACTTATTTGTACAAGGATCCTTCACTACTCATATGACTTCTTGTTTTCTGGAAGTATCTTAGTGTCCAAACCTTCCACTACAATAGCATCAATAGAATGTTGTTGATGCCAAAATTGCCATCTAGGAAATTAAGGTTGTTAATTTGAAAAACACCAACAACACTGATAAGTGTGATTAAATTCATCACATGCCTAATGCCTAACAGTGGATGTCATGGCCACGACCACGTCCTTGCCCTTGTTCTTAAACATGGGCAGTAATAGTATCAACTTACATTTGGAATAGAACCATCTCCCATAGGAAGTAGAGTTGAAGAACATATAGTGAAAAGTAAAAAAAAACAATGTTTCATAATGTTGTGCCTAGCAAAGAGCATTATCAAGAGTGGTTGGAACAAGTGCATACGCAAGTTCTATAAGATTTTGTAATGCATGTGATTATGAGATGAAATTTAAATATATTGTTACTAGGGTAATAAATGAGGATTAAGCCACTAAGGGTACGTCTTTCGTTTTGTAAAGCATCCATAGACTAAGGTATCCACCATCGGATTGTGGTACGAATGGATGACTAATTGCTTTATATGAAATAATTAGTCTACATAATAGAAAATTGGTAAATTTAGTCCGGAAATAGAGGTGTTAGTTTTTTTTGGCTCAGTAGGGATTGTTAGTCAATAGTCAACAATAGTCAATAAGGACATTAACATTTTTAGGGGGGGGGGGGGGGGGGGGGTGGGGGCGGAGGGGTGAGTGTAATGCATGTGATCATGGGATAAGATTTGGATATACTATTATTGTGAATCCTTAGAATTTTAAAAAGATAAAATAATTACTAAAGTGGATTTTTGGAATCGTGGGGGATAAATGGGGATAAAATAGCCATTAAGGGCTCTTTTATTAAATAACTACCTCTTTTCCAATTGGTTTAAGGGGAGAGAGATAGAGTGCATTATAAATTTTAACAAAGTGTTAGCCACAACATTTTAAACTTGATCTGCTCAGATATATTTAACTTTGCATGAAGCAAAAGGTTTTGGAAACAAACACCAAATTGCATTTTTTATTTAAATAACCCTTGACTAAGATGATGTAATTATTAGAAGGTATTATCACAATTATTGGCATGTTTAAATACATATTTGAAAATGTCTGAGAGAATGTTCCAATCTATATGAGTGGTTACGCTCAAACTATTGTACCACTATAACACCATCCCTTTGAAATATATGGGAAATTCATATAAATGCCAAGTATCATCCCAAGAATAATATATAATAATCATCATAAAGTGATCGAACAAATAGTACACATCATCCCTAGGATTCTTATGGAAGAACTCCAGTCAAATGTGAAGATTAGCAACAAGAGCAAAAGGAATTGTATTACGTGCTATGAATGTTGCCATTAATTAAGTTTAATTGTTCAATTGCATAAACATTGAGCAATTGCATTAATTATTACTCTAGATTCAAAAGAGAAGGTTTGGCACTAAAACAAAAAGGAAAAAATAAAAAAGAAAAAATTGAAAAATCTATAAGGAAAATGATATTTAGATGATGTAAAAGTTAAATTTGAACCAAAATCCCAAATCCAAACACTCAAGACAATCAAAGTTACCCCTTATCTCCATCAATATGAATGCATGAAATATAAAAATAAAATAAGAAATGTGCATATTAATTAACCCAAAAACTCTAACTTATATACATGAGTAAGTGGTTTAAATTAAAGTCCCACTATACTAATATTAGTATATATTATGGTAGCCCTAACACTTAGATCTCACATATTAAAATAAACTAGAATATTGTAGTATATAAATTATAAATATAAAATTAATATTAATAAGATGGTAAAATATTTTAGAATATCTAAATATATTTTAAATATCACCTAGTAAACCAAAATATTAAAATAATACAATGCAGTTGAAAGTTTAGAACTTAAGGTTTAGATTTAAGGCGAATATACCTCTGCGATTCTTGGAAGCGATCGATTTCTTGATTGCTAGTTCCTTCCGCGGCAATAACAGAGCTTCTTGGACAGGCTCATTGGTGAAATATTAGCGCAAATATTTGCCTCGCCATGCGCTCGATCTCGCGCTTAGAAGCTCGGGACAATGCTGTCACTGGGCACTCAAAGGAACCGGTCAGATTCCTGGGCAGCGAAATCGAAAGCGAAGATTACTCACGCCAGGGAAGAAATGGGAAGTTGCATTGCTCGTCCGGGATAGAGATAGCGAATGCTACTGCCTGGATACATAATCGAGGATGAGAGCGAAAGAGATGCGTTCTTTCATACCAGGATCGACGCAGCGGAGAGGTCAGAGAGAACGCTGGCAAAGTTGAATTGGCCGTCGCCATATAGCAAGTCGATGATGTGAAAAACCGTGCTTTGCTTGACTAGCTTCCCAACCGTGGCTGTGTTCCTGTGAGAGAGAGCGCAGCAATGGAATCGATACCTCCATTCAGTTGTGGCGTACCTAAGCTTGGACAGTAAATCGCTCGCGACATCAGAGACTAGAGTACCCGTCCGGACATCAAACTTCATGGCCTTGAGGAACAAAGGAAAATCGGTGTTAAAAACGCTTTAAAACGCTGCGCGGCAACCTTCATGAGCAAGATCTCCTGGAATCACACGAAGGAGTTGGCAAACTTTCACTTAAAACTCGTGAAAAAGGAGAGAACTCACCGCCTCAGCGAAGTCCCTCGTACAAGTATGAACGTCGGGAATTAAATCGTTGGCAATCTCCTTGAGAAGAATCGGCTTTGTTTCGTGTATCTGAGCTTTCGAAGGAATGAGAAGAATGAAAAGAAAAGCCTGGATCACACTGTGCCTTGCTCGCGATCCAAACGAAGACGAGACCGATGAACTGGAGGCTCTTCCTGGCAACAAGCCGCGAAATCTGCTCCTCCACGGCGCTCCCACAATCCATTCTGCCAGGAAATCATCCACTCAGGCACACAAATCGCAGGAAATTTTCCAGACCTGTGCATCCATGGAAGGAATCGGTCGGCAAAGAGCGACAGCGCGCAGTATTTCGTCGATGGGAGCGCATTCACGAGCTACGCGGCCAGGAATCGTCGATAAGATCATAGATTTCGATCTCACTTGCCTCGCAGACGTGAAGAATGAGCGCCACGGCCTCCCGCCGCTCCGCCTTGCCCACTGGTGCCATAGCCATACCAGTTTAGGGTTTTATGATTCAAAGGCTATGGCGGAAATGCCGCTAGAAAGCTGTGGGTGTGGAGGGCTCGTCGTGAGTAGCAGATGGAATCCGGGCTTCTTTGCCAGCGCCGTGCCACTGAAGGTGTCGCTTCTTTCCAGATTGAAGCAGCAATCCTCGCAGCGATGGCCGCGAATTCGATGCGTGAGTAGCCGCGTCACCGAGCATAGCTTGCGGCATCAGCCTGGAATCCACATTGATGGCGGCGATGGCGCTCGAGCTCACCCGCGGCTCATGGATTGGATGCTCGAGCAGGGTCTTCCGCCGTGCAAGGTCTCGCTCAAGGAGCGCGATTTGAATGGAAAGACGATCAGATACGTGGTTGCGAGCGAAGATTTAAAGGTAATGTATGATCTCTTATTTTTCTTTGTGTTCTTTAATATGACCATCGGGTTTCTTTCAGCCTGGAGACTTGGCGCTCTCAGTTCCTATGTCCTTGGTGGTAACACTGGAAAGAGTTCTAGGCAATGAAACCATTGGTGCGTGATCTTTCTCTTCACTTTCTCGCTTTGTTTGTGCGAATTTTCGTGTTCTCATCTTTGTTCTTGATTTTCAGCTGAATTGCTGACTACCAACAAACTCTCCGAGCTTGCATGCCTCGCGCTCTATCTTATGTACGAGAAGAAACGCGGCAAAGAGTCGTTTTGGTACCCCTTTATTCGGGAGCTCGATCGGCAGCGTGGTCGAGGACAAGTCGCTGTAGAGTCTCCGTTGCTATGGACCTCGGAAGAGCTTGACGAGTATTTCACGGGAAGTCGAATGAAGGTTTGTTCTATATTCTTTTGAGATTGTAGCTCAACTGGGAGTGTTTCCATTCTTGCAAACAGGAGGTCGTACTGGAGCGCCTCGAGGGGATTAAGCGAGAATATCAAGAGCTCGACACTGTATGGTTTATGGCCGGTTCGCTTTTCAAGGTACTAAAAGGTTTTTTCCTTTTAGCTTTGCGTGTGAATCTGTGCATTGTTGATGGATTGACGCGCAGGAGTATCCTTTCGATATTCCAACAGAGGCATTCTCTTTTGAGATTTTCAAGCAGGCCTTTGTCGCGGTCCAGTCTTGTGTCGTTCACTTACAGGTAAATCATCCTTCTTAATGCGGTAGTTTCACGGAGCCGTCTTAACAGTAGTTTGCAGGGAGTAAGTCTGCCTCGACGTTTCGCTCTAGTGCCTCTTGGTCCACCACTATTGGCTTACAAGAGCAATTGCAAGGCCATGCTCAAGGCTGCAGGGGACTTAGTCCGTTTGGAAGTCGATAGAGCTTACAAGAAAGGAGAGCAAATTCTTGTCTGGTACGTTTCTTGCTTTGTCATCCGATATTTTTTGAATCTAGATATTTCAGGTGTGGTCCTCAGCCAAACACGAGATTATTGCTGAATTATGGTTTCGTAGATCCAGATAATCCACACGATCGTCTTAGTGTTGAGGTAAGCTGTGGTGTGTAAACTGTGTCTCTAAAGTATATCATTAACTTCTCAGGTTCTGTGTGAAGGCCTCGTTAAACACTCGGGATCCATTCTACCAAAACAAGCGGATTATTGTCCAGAAGAACAACAGGCTGACAATACAAAACTTTCAGGTATGCCACTGTTGATCCAGAGAAGTTGGGTTGTTGCTCACGCAACGTCATTTGGTGCACAGATTTTCAAAGGCAGGGAGAAAGAGGCCGTTCTTGAGATGCTGCCATACTTGAGGCTTGGACACGTCTCTGATCCGTACCATATGGAATCTGTATTTTCTGCTGAAGGTCCAACTTGTCCGGTAAGTGCCACCAGCTGGAAGGAAAAACTACAGTAGAGTTGTTGTCTTATACTTTTGTTTTTTTCTACAGGTGAGCGCTTGCAACGAACGAGCAGTTCTCGACCAGCTTGCGCAGTACTTTCAAGAGAGGATAGCAAAATACAAGACCACGATCGACGAGGATAGAGCTCTGGTATGGCGTTGGCAAGTTTTTCCTCTGGTTTTTATATGTTCCTCGCAGCTCGAAGATTGCTCCAGTGATATCAATCCCAAGCAAAGAGTCGCGACCCAGCTGCTGCTTATCGAGAAGGAAATCCTCCACAACACTCTCGACGTTGTGAATGGATTCCGGAACCAGTTGCCGGATGGATCAGTAGCTCCTCCCTGCTGCGGAGATTTCGTCCCAAAGCTCAAGTGAAAAAACGAAAGGAAGAAGATCGATTCAACAAAAGCTTTGGTCGCGAAGAAGAATCGCGAAGGTCTAAAAGCTTGACGAGCAAAAAGAAGATCCACCCAATGGGATCGTTCCAGAGCAACCGCCAAGCGTCCCGGCATATTTCTCGGAATATACCTTTCCCCGCCATGCGGCAAGATGCCCATGTCATGTATGGGTCCGGTCCATCCACGTCATGGCACGATTTTATTATATGGCCGCGCCACGTGGCCAGATGCAGTTCCTCGACCTTGATCTATGGTTAAAACTCGCATTTTGACGCACGGGTTGGTAAAAAATAGCAACGGCGATTGCCAGGTGCTAATTAGGGAGGTAGCACCGACGGCCACGATGGCGCCGCGGTCGTGAGATCACACCTGGGCCGTCCGATCTCACTCAGTTTCTACGCTTGTCGTTCCGTTCGGTTTCCTTTTCTCATCCTTCGCTACTAATGTGTTCTCTCCCGCCATAGCTGAGCCTTTCTTTTTTCCTCTCTTTCTTTGTGGAAAGCCCTGGCGCCGCGAGAGAACCCTAGAACCAGTCGATCTTTCTTGGCCCAGGGCGGAGCTGGTTAGCGGCGCTGGGGCGGCGACGGGGAATAAAAAATATTTTGGCGGAGCGCGGCGCGCTTCGGTTTCTAGGGTAAGGCGATTCCTCCTCTTTGCGGCGGCGGCAGAGAAGAAATCCGTGGCGTGATTTGCTGGCAGGGATTGCAAGCGGCAGCGGTGCTGTAGATCTGGTGCCGCCGTGGTCGATCCGGCTCCAGGCATCGCGAGCTCGGGGCAGGGCGGTTTCTCTAGGATCTGGCGGTTCTTTTTGGCGGTTATTAGCGTCTTTTTGGGGTATGCTGGCGGCGACTTCTTCGCAGGGATGAGGCCAAGGAGAGATTTTCTCGACGAGTTCGTGCATGATGGGTGTGGCTAGCAGCGGCAGTGGCGGCAAGATGCTATGGGGCTCCAGATGACAGGAATCCAATTGGGCGCCGGCTTGGCGGCTTGCTCGTCGTCTTGGATATCACGGGGAGGAATCGCGCAGGCTTTTGGTCGAGCATGCGGGGTGTCGGCCCTGTCCCAGTCATGAGTCCCATGTCCAAGTCATTCCGGAAGCGTGAGCGTTCGTCTGGAGCGTCGAGAAACGTTAAGAACAGTAGCAGCAGCACGGCCACCGGGGCCTCGCCATCGAAGAAGCCCAAGCTCGCCGTCACCGATTGCTCTGGGGATCCTTCTCTCGAGAAGCAGCAGCAGCAGCAGGAACAGGAACAGCAGCGGCAGCAGCATGAGAACACCACCACCTCGTCGCCGGCGCTGTCCGGGGCCTCGAGCCTCTCCACCTCGAATCATCCAAGAGTCGGGGCGGCATCGGTCTCGAGCCCATCCACGCCGGACAGACCGGGGCAGTGGTCCTTACGTCCAAGACAAAGCTCGGGAGGAATCGTGAAGAGGACCCGGAGGCTGTACTACGACGTCCACTTAACCGAGGACGACGCTATCAAGCTTCTTGGTCACCGGATTAAGATGTGGTGGCCACTGGACAAAAGGTGGTACCTCGGAGAGATTAAGAACTACGACAGTGAGCTCCGGCAACACTGGATCGTCTACGACGATGGCGACAAGGAATGGGTGAAACTTGAGGAGGAGAACTTCAGGCTCCAGCTGCTGCCCGGGGATAGCTTCGAGCGAGCTGCCAAGCCGAGGTCGTCAACGTACTGCCTCAACTCCGAGAAGGACGAGGAGGATGTCGACATCACGGCCGACGTGTGCTCTCGTCTGGTCGAACAGCCATCCTCGAGGGCGACGAGTGCGGCGAGCGAGGATAATTCATCGGCTCAGAACGTTGTTCCAGGGCCAAAGCCAGTGTCCGTGTACGCGAGGAGACGTCACTCTAGGAATGGGTCCAGGGGCAGTGGAAGCGTGCCTGTCACGTCTGCGGCTTCCACGGTTGAGACCGATACGATCGAAGTGCAGAGTCCTATTAGAGTATGTGAACCGTCTAACACTGCTCTGTCATATGAAGGTAATTGTGATCTTCTCTGGCTGCTGGTTTTTCCTGACGCGGTGGCCTTTTGCAGATCAGGAGGGTCTCTCCGTAACTTTTGGTGAAGCAGAACCGGAGCTAGGAATTATAGCCAAGGATGTAGAACAGGAGGTTAGGATGGTCGAAGGTGGTAGTACAGGCTATAACAGGGAAATGGACAGCCAAAGCCTCGTCAAGTGGCCTTTGAGCAGGAACGTAGCGGAACTATTGAGATTTATTGAGATCAGGTCTAGAAGTCGCAAAGGTACTCTAGTTGGCGGTAGACTTTTGAACCAGGTGTGGCGGGGTATGCTACCAGTTTGGAACATGGGGAACCTTTTCGATATAAAACTGGGGCCGTCGACCGAGCTCCTCGCTTCCGGGGAAATGACCCCAACGGTGATGATGGAGTCTCCAAAGACAGGCCCGGGAGGTAGCGGATCTTCCCTCTGCATGTTGATCAGCTGGAACGGTTTCACGCTTGAGAAGAATGCGAGGTTGAAGGAGGTGCTTGAGACGAGCTTGAGACGCATCCAGAGCGAACAGAGGAAGCAGATATTCTGGAAGAACACTATCTCGGGGTTCAAGGCTCCCAGGAGGGACTTCTCTGTCCATACAGGATCAGGGTCTTACTTGTCGGTGACGCTGTTGAGTGTTCCATCCAATGGCCGTCAGCTGCTTATGGACCCGGTGACACAGACGACACACTCGGCCGAGCTGGTTAGCGATAGGCAGCTTTGCACCAATTTTTTCAAGAGCCTGCCTTGTTCGGCACCGGCGACGGAGCTCGTCTTCACTGCTCTCGTTGACGGCCGCCATAGTGGCTCTACGACACCTGGAGAGGTTCGAGAGACTCGCTTAAACACTAAGGCCAATTGTGCACAGACTGCTGTAAGTGTACTTTTCTTTTCTTGCAATCTTGAAACAGCTTTTGCTATAACGTTTTTTTTTTCTCATCGTGTTTTTGGTAATTCAGAGAGTAACGCCATATGCTGCTCGTTCGTCTACGGGTGACAAGGCACGCATGCTTTTCAGCAAGAACTTGCGTAAGTTTTCCCACCTGCGTAAGATCTTCCACAGCAAGTGGAAAGACCTTAGTGGCCCTGGTCTGCGGCTGTCCATCAACGAGAGCCTGGGCCTCTTTTCTTCCAGGCACCTCCCTATACTACTCAGGATACATCGGCTCAACACACAGGCAGTCTTACTTCTTCGAGCATCCTCTTGTCAAGCTGGCACCTCCGGCAGTCCAGAGACAAGGCCCGGTTTACAGGAGCTACTTAGTATGAGCAAGAAAGGAAGGAGGACGATAAAGGGGATTAAAAGGATAAGCCAGGAAGAAGGACTTCCCTTACCGCCACCAAAGCGTATCAGAATCGCAGTGCCCGAGCCAGCGCCGGTCCCTGCCACTCCGACCGTGGAAGAGCAGCCGAGTCAAGATGATGGTAGAGCCCGGGGAAACATCTTGAAGCTAAGAAGATGCCCGACTAAGAGAGGAGCGATGTGGTGCGTTGCAACGAGCACGGAGAGTGTCTACGATGACTTGGGGGAGTCTCCATCGTCGGGAACCTGCACAGCAAACCTTCTCATAGTTCAAAGTGACAGAGGCTGGCGAGAAACCGGGGCTACTATCGAGCAGCAGGCTGATGGTGATACTTCGATACTCGTCGTCTCACTCAATGGCGAGGTACTTTATACTTACAAGGCCTACCAGCCCATACAGGCGGGGATCTCCAACAAGCACACACACGCTTTGATGTGGAGGGGTGGCAAAGACTGGATGCTGGAGTTTACGGACAAGATGCAGTGGAGCTGCTTTAGAAGCATGCACGCTGCTTCGTGCGTGACAAACGCCAGGGCGCTGTCCATGAAGCACATTCCAATCCCAGGTGTTCGTGAGGTCCCTGACGACCCAGACCTTTCGGTTTCGTTCCTCCGACCTTGGGGAGGCTATATCAAACAGCCATCCGGGGAAATCGACGCAGCCTTGTCAACTTCCAGGGTCTTGTACGACATGGATAGCGAAGACGAGGAGTGGCTTGATGCGCAGGCGGATGAGATCACGGACGAGGTTTTTGAGAAGACTATCCATTACCTGGAGAGGGCGGCTTATATTCAAAAGCAAGAGATCTCTCTGCCCGTCGCTGTGGAGCTGTGCTCTTCGCTAGCACCGGCGGAGGCGATCACTCTGATACACGCTCACTGGCTGGAGAGAAGGCGCAAGCACGGAATGGCATTGATACGCTGCTTTCAAGTAAGTTTTTTCTGTGTTTTTACTTGTGTGAGCTTAACTTGACTTGTTTGATTGCGCACAGGCTCCTGCCTGTGATCGGTACGAGGCCGCTCTCCAGGCGTGGAGAGACTCTTCGAAGCAAACCAACCAGCCACCCGTATTTGCGTTTTGCATGCGGCCGAACGGATCTCACAAGATGAGCAGGCAACGTTCACAGCGAAGAATCAGTCATGTTGATCATCAATACTTGGACGACGCACAAGGTAGGAACACTGTTTAGTCATTTCTTTTGGAGTATAGCTCATGGCTTTCCGCGTCACAGGCCTCAGGAACGTGATTATCGAGCCCTTCGACTCCGAGTTCTACTCTGGCAGCCCGGGCTCGGACGCCTTCGACGACGGCTCCTACGGCACTCCTTCGCAGAGGCTCGGTTCCAGGTCCAAAGGCAGGAAGCCCGGGAAGAGGCCGAGGAGGATGAAGTCCATCTCGGGCGGCAGCGGCAGCGAGGAGCGCAGGGGCGTGCGGACGTTCATCGCCCCGGCCACTGCCATGAACTTAATGGACGAGGCGGACCAGTTCGACGGCGGTGACTCGTGCTCGAGCATGGACTTCGACCTCAACGACGACGCTCTCGTCAAGGCCCAGCTCGCGAGGAAGGCGGCCAGGATTGCAGCGTCCAAGGCGGCCCGAGCGCAGGAGCTCTACGCCGTGGCGGACGCGGCCATGAAGAGGGCGGTGGCGTGCCTGATCGAGGCGGAGGCGCTGGCGGCGGCGGAGAAGGCTGGGCGGGACAACGCGTATGCCAAGCTCGACCAGCAGCAGCAGCACGGCATGGGCGCTGCCGAGGAGATCGAAGACGATGACGATTTGCTGCTGCCTATAAGCAACTGGACGCAGGAGTTTGGGTCGGGGCTCATACAGAAAGGTGGCGGAGGTGGCAGCGGCGGCGGTAGCGGCGGTGGTGGTGGCGGTGGTGGTGAAGCCACGGTTGCCAGCCCCCGGAAGAGCTTGAGGTACATAAACCAGTCTTCGCTTTTCAAGGGGATGGTGTCGTGAAGGAGAGAAGAGGGGGGAGAGAATAAGGCGGAGGTTCTCTCGTTTTTTTCTTTTTTTCTTGGAGAGGAGGTGGTGATTTTATATCGGGGGTGTGATGGCTACTGGTCCAGCAGCGGCTATATGAGTGCTCCCAAAAGCTTGGAAGTTCTTGAGATCTTTCTCCGCTCTCTCTTTTCTCTCGCTCTTCTCCTTGCTCGGATCGGATACTCTTCTTTTCTTCAAGTGGTTTTTGTAATATCATCCATCAAAAGCAAGATGCGAGTTGCTTGTACAGTGTTTTTCTGGAATCAAAATCATTTTAATCGCATTTTATTTCTTTTATCTTATTTTCATTGGATTCTGCTTGAGGAAAGAATGTTATTGGCAGGAATCGAACTGATGACCAGATTAATGACTAAGGTCAAACATATTTGAACCTTGGATATAAAATCCCATTCGTTATTTACATGATTGTATGTAAATCCTTAGACAAGGAGCTGTGGTGGATACCGTAAAAGCTGTACACGAATACGCCAATGACGAGCCATGCCGAAACTCTGAGCCAAGTGGCGCTCCTGCAAATCCCAGAACCACCATAGAAAATATTATTACAAGTATCAACGAGCTTACCCAAGGTTCGCCAACAAATACACGTTAACCATTATACACATGATAGGAAGAACAGGAACCCCAGGACAGTGAAATCCTGGTAGGAACAAGCAGCACTTAATCGTTACGTCGAAATGCAAGCGAAGGAATGGAAGAAAAGTTTTGCGTACCTCCTGATTGTCCAAATTGGTGACGGCCCTCGTCCTGATCGATGAGCAAGAGAATGGCGCTTCCAACGAGCAACATGGAAGTTCCAATCACTCCCATAATCCAGCACAGCCAGCTACAGCGTTGTGTTAAAAGCTTGCACGAATAAACGCAAGGCATGGAAGACAGTACCTGGGTAATAAAGCTGCGCTTGTCGCGATGCTCAACAGCACCACTCCAATGCAAACACCAGAGATTCCACAAGCAGCGTATCTTCGTCTGCGTTCCTCCTTTTCTTTTTCTGGAATGCTCGAAAGGTGTTAGTTTCATGCTCGTCAATAGGAAAGGGACAGATGGTCTCACCGTCGTCGAGACCAAGTCGAGATGAAGATGGCATCCCCGATTGAAGCGCGCTGTCGTCTTCCATCGTCAAATCATTGGAAGAAGAGCTGCTACTGAGAGAGGTCGCATCGTCGTCCACTTCTGGTATAGATGATTCTGAGAAAATAGATAGAATCGGAGAAGCGTGCTCTTCCTTCTTAAGATGAACTGGAATGCCCGACTTCTTTTTAACAAAGGGAACTTCCTGGGTGGGAGCCGCTGAAAGTACCAGAGGCTCAATGGGGGGAACGTACCGAAGAATCAATATCGACACGGCCACGATCGAGAAGGCCATCAGCGTGCCAACGCTTACCTGTTTTACAACGGGTCAGTCAATCAAAAGCTCGTCACTCCCAAGAAAATTACTAACCATTCCGGAAAGCTCGTCGACGTTCAAGAGAAATGCCATGCAGCCGGCCGCGAACCCTGTCACAACTGTGCTGTATACAGGAACTGAAGTAGCCTTGTTCACTTTGGAGAATAAAGGTGGAAGAAGACCGTCGCGGGACATGGCCATTAAAATTCTTGGCTGCAGGGAAAGAAAAGAGTGAGCAAATATTATAGTGATACTTACGCTTTACTTGTGGAAGTAGAGCTCCCAAAAGAGCCGTAGACAATGCTGCTACGGCACCAGCTGCAACAGCATACCTGGCAACATCACAATCACAATTACGTCATTGTGTACACGAAGAAGAAATCAAAGCACAAAGTCTTACATTGCCCAGTGCAACCCATTTTTCATGAAGGCGGTGGACATGGGAGTGTCAAGATCCATTTCGTAGTAAGGTACTATCCCCACCATAACAGCGGATACCACGATATATATGCTGCCGCAAATGAAGAGCGACAGGCCAATGCCGATAGGAAGATCCCGCTGCGGATGTTTTACCTGTCACACAGAATAGCAGCACATCACTACTGCAAACATCAAAGATACGAACCTCACCTCTTCAGCGGTACTTGCAACAGCATCAAAGCCAATAAACGCAAAAAATACAGTCGCCGCGCCACTGAGAAGACCACTGACGCCAAATGGCATGTATCTGCATCTCAAAATCAGTATCTGTCACAATAGAACAACGAAAGATAGACTCACCCGCCGGCGAGATTGTAGCCAGGCCAGCCATTTCGAAAACCAAGCCAAGAACCCACCACTATAACAAACAGAAGAACAGAACAGTTGACAGCAGTCATCACCGTCTGGACGAATGCACTCTACCAACACGATGTAAAAGTTAGAACTTCAGTAGCTGCGATCAATCGAAAGAACCGATACCTCTCGTATACCGGTGGATAGAAGGCAAGTTACAGCGGCCACAAGTAGAAGAGCGCAAGGATCACAGACGATGCTCGTCCCGGGGATTAGTCTGCGTGACAGCCAGCCAGGTAAGTTGGCAGAACCTCCAAAAAATATGGCCTGAGAGAAGCTCAATAATTTCTTTTTCCGAAAGAAAAAAACGAGAAAATAAAAAGAGAGCGTGAAAAACTCCTACCAGATTTGGAGAAATGCCTCTAGCCACAGCAGCTCCCCCGACCGTGTACTCCAAAATGAGAGCCCATCCAATGATCCAAGCGATCCTGATCAAACGAAAAGATTTTCTCCCTTGTATCATGCCGGAAGAGGAGAACGTACCCTTCTCCAACGCATAGATAAGCGTAGTGGTAGGCGCTTCCAGCAGAGGGGCATCTACTCGCGAGCTCTGCATAACAAAACGCCGAGAGAGCCGCGGCAACTCCAGCGATGAGGAACGAAGCTGATAGCGAAGGACCTGCCTTGTCTCGCGCCACAGTTCCAACCAAAACATAGACTCCAGCGCCGATTGTAGCTCCAATCCCTGCAAATCTCTCAAGATCAACCCAGATCGCGAAAATTCACACGCAGTCACCCACCTACAGCCAGGAGCTCCCAGATTTTGAGATGCTTGACGAGCTGGGGGCTCCCCTTGCGATGCTGCTGCGCATTGGAATGCTTGCGCCGCGTGAGAGTGGAGAATCCCACACGCTTCCTGCCGCTGACCAAGAAAGGGATGTCGATCGCTGCTGAATCCGCCTCCATCGTCTCGCCGCTCCCACCGCCGATCTTCTTCCCCTCTTGCATTCTATCGAAACCTAGCTCCGGATCCCATAGACCGCCAAGGCGTGGAAAACGTGAAGCGGCAAGAATCTCACTACCGGCAGCTCAGAGGCGTGAGATTCCGGGGCGGGACCATCAGATCGGCGTCAGCATTGCACAGCGCCCGCGCAGCTGCTCAACGGAAGGACCCAAGAACCCTAAAAAAACAAAGGGGGGCGCCCAGTCCACACGATATTAACAAGGACAAAATTTTTGTCCTGGAACTTCCCTTGTCAACACGCGTGCAACGAGACAATGTAAAAGATCCAGTGTGTTTCGTGTCGTGTGTTCTTGATTGGTTTGCTCGAGAAGAAAATTGGAGCGAGATTTTTTTTTGGGGGGAGTGGGGTTTCGATACTGATCGATCCGAGAGATATATATGATGTTTCGATGCTTCAAGAGACACTCCAAGTTGGCGTTGGAAGATCTAGCTACCAAACTTTTGTTAACCATTTAACTCATTTTGCTTAATATTGCCATAAGAAACTATATTTCAAATAGTAAAAGAACATCACTCATTTTTTCGATTGTTGATACAATAGAGTTTTGTGCAGATCCAGATCACACCATTCCTCATGGATATGAAACCAAGGATGGCAAACAACCTCATCCATAGTGATACGCTCTTCCGGATCAAACGCTAACATCCTGTGCAGAAGATCAATCACTTCGATGGACAAATTCGCGAGCTCAATCTCATCGCAGTCCAGGAAATACGTCTCCCTTTTCTCCACCATCTCTCTCATCACGTCCACAAACGGCGTCGCATCGACATCGCTGCTCAAATGGCGCAGCTTCCCGAGCAAGGCGTACCGCAGCGTCATGCCCAAGCTCCAGACATCCGCCGCCGGCGTGTAGATCCCCTCAAACATAACCTCGGGAGCCATGAAGCCGGGGGTTCCAACAAAATCCATCTCCCACGGCCTGTGCGCGTCGCAAGCCAGGCCAAAGTCCGCCAACTTTGCGTCGAGCTCCCGGCTGAGGAGAATGTTGGCGGGCTTGATATCGCAGTGGATGACCCCGTTTCTATGGATCTCCCGGAGGCCCTTGGCGACCGTAAAGAACATCCTCGCCGTGGTTGGCTCCGCGAACTTCACACCCAGGTCGAGGCTGCAGGCGCGCAGTTCCATGACGATGTGGGTCTTAGGGTTACCACCTTCGCCGCGTTTCTCATCGTAATGAAGGTCCTTGACCTTCATGACACCGTCGTTCACCCTGTCCCCGGCCTTGAGCATCAGACGCACCTCTTTGGAGCCGCCGCCACTCACGGTCTTGATTGCGAACTCTTGGCCATCGCTCCTCCTCGTAGCCTTGAAAACCACACCGCCGCTTCCACAGCCCAGGAGAGCCCCCAACTCGTAGCGTCGCTCCAAAGTGCTGGGCTTGATCGCGTCTTCACCTTTCCCATGATGCACAAGTTTGCGTCGTTTCTTTTCCCTCTCCATCTCCACAGCTTCAGCCCTGGTCCTCGTCCGGATCCACATTGTCTGAAAGAAAAATGGGAAAACCCTATGGGAAAAAAAAATGAGGATCTCTTTTATACACTTAAAGGCTACCAAGCAAAAGGATCACCACCTCAATATAGCAAAACATATCTTTTTAGGGTTCTTCATAGGATCACAACCTCAATATAGAAAAACATATCTTTTTAGGGCTTTTCATTTCAAGAGTAGGGTGGCGAAGTATGAGCTACATTTTGCCCTTGTCTTCGTGAAACTTGTTTCTAATATCAACTTTCTTTGCATGCAGCACCGGCTTGCACCCAACGAGTTCCTAGTCATGCTTCCTGAGACTTTGCAAGTCTGAAAACTTGAAATCGTATAGTTTTAGCTAAATTTCTCCAATCCAGAGCTTTGCTGTTTTCCTAGAATGTTCTGTTCTTGGATTAAGATCTTTGCTTTTTATACACTAAAAGGTTGTCAGGAAAAAGGTGTTACAATCTCAATACCTGTTCGTGCGAGAAGCCGGCTGTTCTTGGCCTCCACACTTTCCACAGCCGATCGTGGCTGGCAGTGACGAGAAAATCCGCCGTGGGAGACCAGGCAACGTCGAAAACATGATCGCTATGAGCGCTGGAATCACTCGGTTAGTTCAAAAGCTCAAAGCTCGGACTCCTTACCTCAGGATGTGAAGACACTCGAAAGTGGCAGTGTCATACAGCCGGACTGTCGTATCACCAGAGGTGGTCGCGAGCAATCTGCCGTATGGAGAGAACGCGACGCGCTTCACCTCCCCGGAATGCTCTTGCAACACCGCTAGCGGAGAACACATTCTCAAGTCCCATATCCTGCACGACTTGTCATCACTTCCAGTGGCTAGCAGCCATCCCGAGTCATCGATGTCTACACCAATGACGTCCTCAACATGGCCACGAATTGTCTGCACGTCTTTGCTGCACCTGGCGTCCCAGAGCTTGGCTGTGTAATCGAAGGAAGAGGTTGCAATCAAATGGCCGCATGGCTGGAAGCAAACTCCATAGACCGTGTTGCGATGACCCTGTGAGCAAGAGAAGGACGAAGAATGAACAAAATTCGACGAGCTTTGTGTGGAAATTTACCTTCAAAGCGGTCACCGCAACTCCTCTTTCGGCATCCCATATGATACAAGTGGTATCGTCAGAAGCTGTAGCTAGTAAGTTAGTTCCTCGTTTGAATGACAATCCATTCACCTGCGAGTGCGAACATGAGCAAATACAAAGGGAAAGATGGAAGAAAGAGAAAAGACTGACCTCGTCTTTGTGACCTTCGAGAACGCTAATGCATTCTCCACTGTCTAAGCTCCAAAGCCGGCATGTCTGATCCGAGCTCACCGTTGCTACGAGATCTCTTCTTACGGGAGAAAACTTCACGGCATACAGGCCCAGCATATGTCCAGAAAGCACACCGACCTCCTTCTCCAAGTCCGTATCATAGATCCGGCAAAAGTGATCCCAAGAGGCCGTCGCTACTAAATTCCCCGAGGGATTCACGGCAATCCCATGCACCGGAGCCGAGTGCACGAGAAACTTTCGAGCAACGTCCCAGCTCGTCGCGGTTAGATTCTCTTCGACTTTTCGTGGAGGCCGTGCTGCTCCAAACCCAGTCTCCACAGCTTCGCTCTCAAATCCCCACGATGGTGCCTGAGACAACCTTAGCCTCATCCCAAGAGCGTGCTTCAAAACTTTGTTCTCGTCATGCAAGCTATGGACTTGCCCCTGGAGTTTTTGATTCACTCTCTCGAGCTCGGCTACCTGGACTTTGAGCTTGGCTCGCTCCACCATCACTTGCTGCCATCGCTCGGCCACCTTGCCCAGCACGAATTTCACCAAAACATCGTCTTCCTCGCCTACATTCTTCTCACCACCGTGATTTTCCTTGTTCCTGTCACTGCCCCTTTGCCTGCTGCTACTGCCACCGCTGCTACTACCACACTCCTCGCTCTTCTCCAAGCTAGTCTCCAGCGACGATACCTGGACGCCGGCGTCTTGATCGTAGAGTGAGATCAGGGCCGAGATTTCTCCGACGAAAGCCCGGCACACCGGGCACGCCGCCTCGTTCCGGAACCAGATCGTGGCGCATGGCTGGCAGAAGACATGGCCACATTGCGTGATCTGAGCTCGCTGCACGGCCGAGAAGGCGCTCTCGAAGCAAATCTTGCAGGTGAGCCCCATGATCGATCGCGCGAGGCCTACATTGGATCCCACCTACCGATCGATCGATCGATCAATCGCTCCCGCTTTGGCCCTAAGACATGCGAGGGAGCTAAGAGAGAGGATTCACGCGCTAATAGTAGCGCCCTCCCCCGACGCAAGGGCGAAGAACCCTAGAGACAGGTGGCCTACTAGCTCAGTAGGTTAGAGCGTGGTGTTGATAACGCCAAGGTCGCAAGTTCGAGACTTGCGTGGGCCACACAACACTCCTTTTCATCCATTTTCTTCCTCCTCCGCCGCCAAGATCTTTGCTCATACTCTCAAAAAATGGTTTTTTGGCAAGGATTGGGGCAAATGTGGCAGATCTAGATCTCCAGAAACATTTTTAGGCAAGGAATGTGGCCGATCTAGAGCTTGGGCAGACGCAATTCATGAGAGAATATGGCTGATCGGCCCCAATTTCACGGAATCTGGCTAGAATTTCCTCGGCAATGGCCGCGTCTTGACGACTACATCAATGGCGAGGCAACTGGAGAAGGCTGTGATCGAGCAGGACGTCCCCCACCTCGCGGAGCTCATCAATTCGTGCGCCAAGCTCAAAGATCTGTCGCGCGGCAAGCTCCTCCACGACCAAATCGATCGCTCGCCGCTGGGAAGATCGACCTATCTCCGGAATCTCCTCATCGACATGTACGGCAAATGCGGCCGCGTCGATGACGCACGGAACGTCTTTGACGCCACCCAAAACCCTAACCATTTCTCGTGGAATATCCTCATCGCAGCATATGCCCAGAATGGGCATACGCAAGAGGCAAGGAACGGCCTCGATTTAATGCCGCAGTGGACGTTAGTCGCCTGGAACTCGTTGATCACGGCATATGCCCAGAGCAAACTCCTCTACGAGGCCAAGCATCTCTTCGCGAATATGCCCGGCACGGACGTTATCTCGTGGACGGCTATGATCACAGCATATGCCCGGAATGGGCATCCACACGAGGCAAAGGCCACTTTCGATCGATCGCCGGTTCGAAACGTTCTAACGTGGAACGCGATGATCGCGAGCTACGCGGAGGGCCACTGTTTGGCGGAATCTAAAATGATGTTCGATAAGATGCCTCATTGGCATGTGGTATCTTGGACTGGGATGCTCTCGGCATATGCCTCGAATAGGCAAAAGTCTCAAGCGATTGACCTCTTTAACTCGATGCCGCGGCGAGAGGTCGTGTCGTGGAACGCTATGATCCAGGCATACGTTGACTCATCGGAGCTTGACTCTGCGCGACTAACTCTAAATAAAATGCCCTACTGGGATGTGGTATCGTGCACGGCTATGATCGCCGCATATGCCCAGAATAGGGATTTTGATGAGGCTAAGAGATTATTTGCGATCATTCCACAAAAGGACCAAGTGTGCTGGAACACGATGATCACTGCCCACATTAGCAGCGGTGACCTAATCGCCGCGGAGATGGCGCTGGAATCTATGCCCACGCCCAACGCCGTGTCGTGGAATATCCTTCTCTCGGCCTACGCGGAGAAGGGCGAGCTGGCGAAGGCGAGGCGCCTGTTTGACAGCCTCTCCAAGAAGAACCTGGTGACGTGGAACGCCATGGTCCAGGCGTATTGCCAGGCGGGTAATATCTGCGAGGCAAAGGCGCTGTTTGATCAAATGAAGCAACGAGATTCCGTGACGTGGTCGTCCATGATCCAAGCGTATGCCCAAAATGGCCACTACCGCTTGGCATTCGAGCTCTTTGGGACGCTCAATCTCGAGGGATTGAAGCCCAGCGAGATCACATTCGTGGAGATCCTCAGCGGGTGCTGCCAATCGGGGAAGATTGGCGACGCAGCATCGTTCTTCCGGTCGATGATCGAGGATTTTGAGCTGGTGCCGCTGGTGGAGCACTACCGCTGCGTGGTGGATCTTCTAGGGCGATTGAAGCGCTTCGAGGAGGCCGAGGAGCTGATCGAGAGCATGCCCTTCCCGGCCGATTCGATCGCGTGGATGGCGCTGCTAGCGTCGTGTAGGGTTCACGGCGATGTGGAGCGAGCCAAGATCGTCGCCAAGAAGATCGGCGATCTAAACCCCGAGAGGGCCGCCACGTATGTGATGCTCGCGAATATCTACAAGAAACCCGAGCTTTGACACGTGTCCGGTATCGATTGGATGTGTGCTCTATTTGCCACGTTGTCAAGCAAAATCTAGGGCTGACGGACACGCGGCATATTCGGCTCTGTTTCTAGGCCGTCTTGCCCTAGAAGAATATTCTAGAAGGCTCTTTCTGGAACTTTCCATACGCCACACGGCATACTCATTGGTGGCCGTCGGATGCCGGCATCCGACGGCTGGAGAGCTTAAACCGGTCTCTTTTTGGCGAGGAGGTGAAGCGCGATTAGGGATTTTTCCATCCAGCTCCGGCCGCGAGGCGCAGCGTCCAGATCTAGAGCTCCTCTCTCGGATTGCGAGGTAAAACTCCGCGAGGATGAGCGTAGTAGGGCTAGATGTCGGCAACGAGAACTGCATCGTGGGAGTAGCCCGGCAGCGCGGGATTGATGTGGTGCTCAACGATGAATCCAAGCGCGAGACGCCGGCGATGGTGTCCTTCAGTGAGAAGCAGCGGTTTCTTGGCACGGCGGCCGCGGCATCGGCTACAATGAACCCTAGGAACACAGTGTCGCAGATCAAGAGGCTGATTGGGAGGAGATTTGCCGACCCCGAGGTCCAGAAGGATTTGCAGCTCCTGCCCTTTAATGTGACCGAGGCCGCCGATGGGACCTGCCTGATCCATGTCCGCTACCTCGGAGAGGTGAAAGCCTTCACGCCGACACAGATTCTCGGCATGGTTCTCTCCAATCTCAAGACCATCGCCGAGACGAATCTGGGGACCCATGTCGTCGACTGTGTCATTGGGATCCCGGTCTACTTTTCGGATTTGCAACGACGAGCTTACCTCGATGCGGCATCCATCGCTGGGCTTCATCCTTTGCGACTCATGCACGAGACCACCGCGACAGCGCTGGCTTATGGGATTTACAAGACCGATCTGCCAGAGGGCGATCCAGTTCACGTAGCCTTCGTCGACGTTGGCCATGCTAGCACCCAGGTCTGCATCGTGGCTTTCAAAAAGGGTCAGCTCAAAATTCTTGGGACTGGCTTCGATGCCTCCCTCGGAGGCCGAGACTTCGACGAGCTTCTCTACATTCACTTTGCGTCGACTTTCAAGGAGGAGTATAAGATCGACGTGAGATCCAACCCGAAAGCTAGCCTCAGACTCAGGGGTGCGTGTGAGAAGGTGAAGAAGATTCTCAGTGCCAACGCGGTTGCTCCCATCAGCATCGAGTGCCTCATGGACGAGAAGGACGTCAAGGGGATGATCAAGCGGGAGGACTTTGAGCAGCTGGCGGCGCCATTGCTGAACAGATTCAAGTCGCCGCTGGAGAAGGCGCTAGTGGAGTCGAAGATACCGCTGGAAAAGATCAACTCGGTGGAAGTTGTGGGGTCTGGTTCCAGGATCCCGGCCATTCTACGCATCCTGGCTTCGTTTTTTAATAAGGAGCCCGGTCGGACACTCAACGCCAGCGAGTGTATAGCCAGGGGATGCGCTCTGCAATGCGCGATGCTCAGTCCAACATTCAAAGTCCGAGATTTTGAGGTCTGTTTTTCTTTGGCTGCTTTTGAGTATGTTTTTCTAATACGTTGACGTCTATACAGGTGCAAGACTCGTTCCCTTTTCCAATAGCGCTCTCTTGGAAGGGCCCTGCACCGGAGTCTGAAGATGACAATCCCAACAGCATTGTCTTTGTGAAGGGAAATCTCATCCCAAGCACCAAGATGCTGACTTTTTTCAGATCTGGGACATTTGCTATTGACGTCATGTATGCGGATACGAGCGAGCTGCCGGCTGGTGTTGGTCCTAAAATCAGTACATTCACGGTAAGCTTCTCGGCTCTTATCTTGTTTAGAGACTGAATGTTTTTCTGTAGATTGGGCCATTCACACCTACTAGGTCCGAGAAAGCGAAAATCAAGGTTAAGATCCGCCTAAATCTTCATGGCATAGTTTCCGTGGAGTCTGCTACAGTAAGTCTTGACATTGTTTGCTGGTCTGGTTTTACCTTAGTGCTTGTTCCAGATGGTGGAGGAAGAGGAGGTCGAAGTTCCGGTTACGAAGGAACCGACTGCGATGGAGACGGATAAAGAGGACGACAAGGGTGATGTTCCTATGGAAGAAGGCGATGCTAAAGTGGAAAGTGCGGAGGGTACTGACAATGGAGCACCTCCAATGGAGGAACCAGTTGAAACTCAGAAGGTATGGGTGGTGTCGTTCTCTTTCGCATGTTGTTTACGTACTATGGTGGCACATCTTGCAGGCCGAGCCTGTTAAGAAGAAGAAGACGAAACGGACGGATGTCCCGGTTACGGAGACGGTTCCCTGTGGATTGCCTCCAGCGGAGCTCCAGAAAGCCGTGGAGAAGGAGTACGAGTATGCCCTTCAGGATAGAGTCATGGAAGAAACCAAAGACAGAAAGAATGCAGTGGAAGCCTACGTCTATGACATGCGGAACAAGGTTTGCATCTCGTATGTGGTTTGTAATTTTAATGGCTGCTGCTTCTTTTCAGCTCTACGAGAAGCTGCATGACTATGTCACGGATTTCGAGAAGGAGGAGCTAACAGCAAAGCTCCAGCAAACAGAGGACTGGCTGTACGAGGAAGGCGAGGACGAAATCAAGAGCGTCTACGTTGCAAAGCTCGCTGAGCTGAAAAAGGTAATACCCAGCTGCTAGCTTTAAAACACCTTCCAACTTTTTTCTATTCCAACTCTTTTCTATTCCAGCTCGGGGATCCCATAGAAGAACGGCAGAGAGAAGAGGAGAACCGCGCTCCATCTGTCAACACGTTGCTATACTGCATCAACAGCTTCCGAGAGGCAGCTCTTTCCAAGGACCCGAAGTTTGATCACATCGACCCGGTGGAGAAAGAAAAGGTAAGAAGATTTAGACATCCGAGAAGCTGGCGGTCGAGGTGATTATCAACTCGTGCTTTCCAATGCAGGTGGTTGTGGAGTGTAACAAGGCGGAGGAATGGTTGCGAGACAAGAAGCATCAGCAAGACGGTCTCGCTCGGTCTGTGAACCCGGTATTGTTATCGGCGGACATCAAAAAGAAGGCCGAAGTTTTGGACCGGTATGGTCGTTCTTGTTTTCCACTTGCAGAGTGACTTGACTTGTTTTGGATGTTTTTACAGGTTTTGCAAGCCGATAATGACGAAACCAAAGCCGGCGCCTCCAAAGGCGGCGGCGCCAGCGGCGGAAGCCAAGTCCGCGGCGGAGAACAAGGAGAGCAAGGCGGAGCAAGCAGCCGGCGGTGCTCCACAAGCCGAGGACGCGGGCGGCGCCGCTGATCCCATGGACACTGATCACAATCATCCGGAGCAGGAAGGCAGCCAAAGCGAGTGACTATGACTTCCGTACCACCTTACAGTACGTGATAAGCCAAGAGGGAAGAGCATTAGCTGAGAAAGAAAAAGAAAAAAGAGATTTTACCCCGGGTGTGTGATTATGGGCGAAAGAGAGGCGTCCTTTTTTTTTTACGTAAGTAGTTTTGATTCATTTTAAAGTGGGTTTAGCTACAAACTTCCACGTACTATACACTTAGGAAAGATATATTTTTCCATAGGAAATGAGAAAGAAAAATTAAAAAGAGATTTTACCCCGGGTGTGTGATTCCGGGCAAAAGAGAGGCGTCCTTATTTTTACGTAAGTAGTTTTGATTCATTTAAGCTACGAAAAGTACGTACTAAACACTTAGGAAAAATAGGAAAATATCAAGTCAAAACCAGCAGTTGTAGAAGAATAGGAGAACATCACTATAGCAATTCAGTCAAAACATCACGACTTCCACGAACTAAACGATCAGAAATTTCTTGGTCCAAATGCCAGATTTTGAGTCAAAGCGGGCGTTTTGCAATTTCTCCATCCTCGAGGTATATTTCTTGTTCTAGAAGGAACGTGGCTCTTGGATCACACTAGCCACGTCACTCGCCACCTCCGCAACTAAAAATGGAATAAAGCCTGCTAAATTAGGGCGCCTCTGTCAAGCGGCCATCCAACGGCTGCGGCGCGTCCTAGCGTCATCTAACGGGTATCGCGGCGCCACGCGCGTTTTCTACACCATATTAATAGCCCCACGGTTGTTTTGTAAAAGAAAAAAAGTTTGATCGATCGAGTGCGAGGTAGCGAGACGATGGATCCCAGCGAGCAGTTGCAGCTCCAGCGGCGGCATTCCGGCGCTAATGCAGGTCGGAATCTCTTGGGCGATGAGGATTTGTGCTCGTCGTGCGAATCGTCGAGCGAATCGGGCGCGGCCAAGATCTTCCCTCCGCCGCTCACGATCCTGGCCGGGGACTGCTCCTACTCGCGATTCCCGTATTGCATGCCGCGCTGGGGGCTCCGCCCCATCCGGAGGAAGGGCCGGTTTCTTCTCCAGGAGGTGAGGGTGCCGCGGCAGCTCATGTTCCACTCGGTGAGGAAGAATGGGCGATTGGTGCTGATGCTGCTGCTCCACCACGACCGGATCGAGGATGAATTGCCGTGCGATCACCCAATTGCGGCTGCTACAGCCGGTGATCAAGAAGAAGAAGAAGAATCCGATAGCTCCTTTATCTCAGGATCCTTGAGCGCGAGCTCTTCCAATTCTTCTTCCTCCAGCTGGAATCTCAAAGATCTCGGCGAGCTGAGTCTCAAGGATCTTAGAGAGGAGGAGGAAGCCAGGGCTCGGACCGATTCAAATCTCAAGAGTGTGGTTGTGATCAAAGATGGCGTTGTCAAGTTCCCGTACGGAAATCCGCTCAAGAACACCAACGTTCCAAAGACTTCCACTTTCCCAGAGCAGAGTTCTTCCACTCTAGCCAAGAGATCGAGCATGGACGATTTGCTGGTGGCGAATCTTTGCGGCAAAGCCAGTGGCAGCGCGTGGAAGGGCAGCGACCTCGGCAGCTTCCAAAGCATCTCGCATTGGACACATTGATGGAAAAGATTGGGCAACCCCTCAAATATCTTCTCTTTGCTATATTAAAGAGTTGTAAAGTTACAGATCATGATCGATCATCCAAAACCACAGAAAAAAAAAAGGAGTAAAAGTAACGGATCAATCGAACAACGACCAAAACCATAGAAAACAAAAAGTCAATAAGATGGTCAACAAAACACAGAAAAAAAAAAAAAACAGTTTTGCCTGTGGGGTTGGCTGGATCAAGCTGGCCGCCTATTTGAGAAACCGTGTTCTTATCTTACAGGTGGTGAAAAAGAGTCGGGTGGGTCGCATTTCAGACCATGCACGTGAATTTCCTGGAACAGAGCGCGTCAACCCACGTCAAAACCCAAAAACCCTAAAAACGATACCTCTGGATATGCTCTCACGTTTGAATCTTTCACCTCTACTGGTGGTGAAAGTGGCAGAGGAGCTTGGAGCTCCTTGGCTCGCCCCGCTTGGAGTGGAGTGGCACAACGCGAATTCCTTGCTCCAGCTCCGGGACGGGGATGCAAGCTTGCCCCACGAAATCGTCTCTCCGCATTCGATCGTGCTCCCACACCTCGAATCGCAGCACGGCGATCTCCGGGACTGGAAGAAACGAAACCAAACGATTCAAGGGAATGAAACCATCGGTCCAGAGCTTTACTTACCTGTTAGCGGGAACTCGAACACCTCGGTTTCCCAGTTTGGATGATGCGTCTTGTGCGCGACTTTGGTCCTCTTTTTCAGCTTGTCGGCCGCAACTCCATGCACCGCAACCTACACCCATGTTGAAAAAGAGTTTCCAGTACTGGAAAGAGAGAGAAAGAAAAACTGCTCACCTTTACGTAGAAATCTGGTTTGGAGAAGAGATCGAATCGCTTGTGCCAGTCGGTGCCTGTCAAGACTCTCACCTGCATGTACAGCGACATGAAATCGGAGCTACTGGCCGGTTTTGCGAACCTTGAGTGTAGATTTGACGTTGCTGTCGTGTGGGACGTCGCTGAGAAAGCAGTCGGGTTTTTTGATGTAGCCGCAGCCTCCGTTTCCAAGGAAGAAACCTCGAGCAACCCAGCACGGACGGTCTTTTCCTTGCAAGTTTAACGCGGCCAACTGAAATCCATGACTCCAAGCAAGCATTGGATCCGCATTCGAGGAATCAAAGCGGAGGCCGAACGGGTACATTCGGCCCAAGTTGTTCTTTGTGTACCTGAAAGTATGGAGTTAGAAAACTTGCAAAACAATATAAGAACACCAAACTGGATGAGAGAAAATGGATTCGAGAGCACTGATTTCTTTAGCTGGGGCTCGCTCATGTTGGCCATGATTGCAGTGCTGGTGGAGACAAGTTCGCCATTGACAGGAGCTTCCTTCATCTCCGACGGTTTGGCGCAGTAGATGTACAGCAAGTGCTGTAGCTCCGGGATTTTGGGAACTTCAGGATGTTCCTCGTGCAAACTGGCGGCAGCCATTGCTTCCGCAGCTTTCGTAACATTACGCTTGCCGCGATGTTTTCTATCTTCTTCTTCATCCGATGAACTGCTTGAGAAGCTGCTCTCTGAGCCGCTGTGTCGATGATTTGGAGTAATAGCTTCCACAGCGCCCTCTGGATCCCGGGCAACCTATTCCAAGGTAGGCGATATAAGATGCATTTGAAAAAATGCGAACTGAAGTTACCTGCTTGGCTAAATGCTCCTTTGGAGGCTTGTCCGAGATGATTATCTTTTTCCTGAGCTCCCAGGGTGACAGAAACTCTGTCGGGGGCGTCTCAGAAGCCGGTATATACAATGCATCGCCAACGAGCTCTCGAAGTATCTGCATTTATCCTATCCATTAGAATAATCACAGTGCAGAGCCAGAAAAGAAGAAGTAAAAGGAAATACTTGAGAGAAAAACAAAACACAAACTATAAGCATTGAAGAAGCAGAAGAAAAAAAAAGTGGCTTGTCAGAGAAACCTTGGCCGCTTCCTGTTGTAAAGCCGGTGGCAAATGATTTTCAATAGTGACAATCACTGGGTATTCCGACGCTACAAAAGCGTGCTCCTTTATAGACGCTACGCAGACATCGAATGGAACAGCCCTCGTCAGCGTGCTGCAACACGGCATTCAGAATTGCCTCGAGCAATCAATCAAAGGCATACCAAACTCATACCAAAAGCACAAAGCAAATCACACTTCCAGGAAAGAAAGAACGAAAGAAAAGAGTTTACCCGCCATGGAAGACCATAACCTTGCCTTTGTGCTCCCAGCAGTCCAACTCGATGACACGGCAGCCATTTTGCAGCGCCAAGACAATGGGCGACGAGCACGATTTGGAGGTGAGCTGGTTTCCTTTGAGGTACGAGTTGTGGCTTGTATGGATGTAATAATGTGAGAGTGGAGCAGTCATGTCGTGGCTTGGCTGCGAATCAAATCACCTTGACTTTAGCATATACTGATAGAACGCAGGAAAAAAAAAGGAAGCTATGCTATGTAGGACGAAGTCTTTCTTACCTTCTTCGTGCCAAGCATTGCAGCATTGAGTGCTGGATCGAGGAGAAATTTGTGGATGAAGCTCGTGAGATCCAGGCCCTGCGGCGCCAGCCTAGACATAATCTCGGACGCTGTGCTCTGGCTCAAGCTCGGGTCACAGCCTTGAAATCTCTCCAAGAAACGCGCCATTCCAGCGGCATTTATGACCGTGCCCCCGCCGGCAGCCTCATCAAACATCTCCCTCACGAGCTCTGGCGGCTGGAGATTTCCCTTCATTGTCCCTGCCGCTGGATTTCTCTCGTAATATCGCTCGATTGACTGCCGCGACGCGAATCACATTCGCTTTACCTGGAGGGAATCGCGACGCGCTCGCCGGCGCCGGCTAGGGCAACGCAGCCTCCGATCACTGTGAAACACGAGGACGTTGATCGATGGCGAGCTAGAAGAGGAAGAAAGAGGGATTAATCTATCCCGAGGAAGTAAAAGGGCAAAACCCTGGTGGCATATTCTACGAATATTACATGAACAGGGATATGCTATTTCGATGCCAGGAATATAAGATTACACACGTTCCAGTCTCTCCCTTTCACACTAATGGCGTTAGTGGCACCATAGTACAAGGCTGTCCTTACAAGCGCCTCTCTGGCTGGAGCAAACAAGGCCTTCTCCTTCTAGGGCTCCTCTCTTCGACTCCAGCGTTTAGGGCTCGCAGATCCCAGCTCCTGGCGATGGCGACGCAATGCCGCGGCGATCAATGCGGCAGGCGCTGGAGCGCGCGCCTCTCTCCGGCAGTGTGCTCCAGCAGCAGGGGTGTGAGATCACGATGATCGGCAGCACAGTGGAAAAGAACAAGCGGCCAGCGGAGGAATCACAGGGTGCGGGGTGCCACGCATTGATTTCCAGCGGTGCGCGGTACTAGTAGGTCCTGCATTGATGCGCGGCTCGCTTCTTTCGTTCCATTCATGAGATAGCGGTGCGGGGGAGTGACAAAAGCTCTCTCGAGGTGAGATCCATATCCTGGTTTCTACGGGTTCTCTTTTCTTTTGCTTTGTTTTTTCAACGTAGCTAGAGAGAATAGGCACTAGTCCAGTGGTGTGATCTTTGTTTCATAGTTCTTTTTTTTTTTCCAGGCTCGAGTTTTTTGCATACTAGGTACTGGTGGTCCGGATAAAAGTCAAAGGGGACTTTTACGAGCTGAGATCACAAAAGCAGGAAGAAAGAGGACTTGTCCATCCTTTCGAATCGATTCCATGGCTGGATACTTCTACTACTGCTAAGGTGCTGGTTTTCTTCTTCGATCTATAGGATTTGCTGCTGCTGCTTCTCGCTAGCAATGGGATCCTGCTTGTCCAGCGAGAGAGGAGCGCAGCAGAATGGTGCTCCTAGTAGATCTTCCCGGAAGACCTTGAAGAGGGAAGCAAAAGAAGTTCTTGCTGTAGAGGCCAAGAACGATCAGCAGCTGGCTTGTTTCCCGGGAAGATTGTGTACAAACGGATCAAGTAATTCGTGCTGCCTCTTCTCGCAGCAAGGGAGGAAGGGGGTGAACCAAGATGCCATGATCGCTTGGGAGGTAAGATCGTCTAGCTTGTTTTGCTCTGTGATCCTTGAGTGTTCTAACTTTGAGTGTTTCCTTGGCAGAGCTTTGCTTCAAGAGAGGACACCGCATTTTGTGGTGTCTTTGACGGGCATGGACCGTATGGGCATCTAGTGGCTCGCAGAGTCCGCGATTCACTTCCACTCAAGCTGGTTCTTAACTGGCAAGAGTCCGAATGTGCGAAGAACGACGAGATCAAGATCCCGTCGAAGAGAAACGACGAAGAAGGTGATGAAGCCGCTGCTGAGTACGATTTGTTCTGCACCTGGAAGGATTTGCACTTGAAGGCATTCAAAGTTATGGACCGTGAGCTTCAAGTTCATCCATCCATCGACTGCTTCTGTAGCGGGACGACAGCTGTGACTGTGCTCAAACAGGTGCGCAATGCCCGTTTTTTAGTGCTCGAACAAGTGAAGAAAACAATGGTTTTTATTTCAGGGCCAGGATCTCTTCATTGGAAATGTTGGAGACTCGCGAGCCATTCTAGGAACTACTGCTGAGGACGGCTCCTTCTCAGCAGTGCCTTTGACAGTGGATCTGAAGCCGAATCTTCCCAGTAAGTTGTCTCGATCGATATCACCTTTACTTTTGCCAAGATTCTGCTCAAGCGTCAACTTTGACTTGTTCTATCAGAGGAGGCCGAGAGAATCCGTCAATGCAAAGGTCGAGTTTTTGCTCTCCATGACGAGCCGGAAGTTCATCGGGTGTGGCTGCCGCACGAGAACTCTCCTGGCCTCGCAATGGCCAGAGCGTTTGGAGACTTTTGCTTGAAAGACTTCGGCGTGATCGCTGTTCCAGAGGTATACTACCGCCGACTGAGTGACCGAGACAAATTCGTTGTGCTAGCGACAGACGGGGTAAGCGCAGTGATAGTAGTGATTATTATCACTTACTGTGCTTTCTTTTTCTTCCTTCGCCAACAGGTGTGGGATGTTCTTAGCAACGAGGAAGTCGTCAACATCATATCTTCACACCCGACAAGAAGCACTGCAGCGAGGACTCTTGTAGAGGCGGCCGTCCACGCGTGGATGCTCAAGTATCCAACCTCCAAGATCGACGACTGTGCGGCGGTGTGTCTGTTCTTGGACACCGTCACGGTTTCTCAGGCCTCGAATGGAGACAACGAGAACAAGACGATATCAACAGCAAGTCTTAGCTCAGCTCGCAGCTTTGCCGGCATCACAGTGTCAAAAGGCTCCAGTGACGAAGAAGGATCAAAAGAAGCTCCAGCAGTGGCAGCAGTGACAGGAGACGAGAAAGATTCAAGAGACGATGCGACGAGTAAAACCGGCGAGGAAGAGTCATCCAAGTCGGAGTGGTCGGCTCTTGAAGGCATCACCAGGGTGAACTCGCTGCTAAGTTTGCCGAGGTTTTTGCTGGGGGACAAGAGGCTCGGTGGCTCCAAGAGGAGGCGTTGAAGAAAGTAGCAGGGGATCAAAGAGACCATTCCTATAATCTTGGAGCTTCAATCCAAGCACAGGATTATGCGATATGGTGCTTGGAAATGGGAACAAATTTGAATTAAGGTTATATTATTCTATTAAGCGGTTAAGTTATGCAAGTTCGAATCCTGTTATCCATATCTTTGAAACTTGATTAGATGCTAAGTTAAACTAATGCTAATGTGGATGTGCCAGAGTGGTTATCGGGCATGACTAGAAATCATGTGGGCTTGCCCGCGCAGGTTCGAATCCTGCCGTCCACGTTTTCACCCTCGTTTTAGCACTGCTTGAGCGTTTGGACTGATAGCTCAAAGAAAGTGATAGCTCTTTGATCGATCTTTTCTTTTTGATCCATTTTGGTAGTCCTGAAAAGAACACGCGTTGCGAATGGATCAATCATAGCGTCAATAATCTGCTGTACATTTTCTTTGATCTTTTCTTTTGATCTGTCCCATTTATCGCTCTCGTGCCTTCGCCGTGACTAATTGATGTTTTTCCCTGAAGAACACACTCCTTTCAACGAACCTTGTGTGTGTGTGTGTGTGTGTGTGTGTGAGAGAGAGAGAGAGAGAGAGAGAGGAATCTTTAGTTTAGCTTCAGCTAGCTTCTCAGATGCTTTCTCAGGATTTTTCCTGCCGGTGACTTGGATATGGAGTCCACGAAGTAAACTTTGTGGATTTTCTTGTAGAAGACAACCTATATGGCAGCCTTAAGTTCCCATTTAAAGAGAGGGCTGGCTGAGTGTTATGCTCCATTTAACGCCGCACTGCTGCGATCACTGCTTGCGATGGGAATGGAAAAGAAGAGAAGAGATTGGAAACTTGCCTGTTGTGATACGAACAGCTTGAGCTCCTCTTTCGATACTTTAAAACCATTTGCAATCACCACGAATGCTACTGGCAGTTCTCCGGCGGGTTCATTCTTTGTCCTGCAAGAAAAATTTAGATTTTGGGTTGTTGATCAAGCTCCAGCATTCGTGGAGGAAGAGTTTAAAGATTGGCTACTTACGGGATCACTGCGGCATCAGCAACGCATGGATGCGATGCTTCAACCTACCTACAAAATACGAGCTTGTAAGAAAAAGAATAGAAAGAACTTGCAAGTCTCTGGATTCAAAGAACAAACCAACTTTGAATTTGATGATCTCCTTGACACGATCACCAGGAAAATCTCGTCATTGTCATCGATGTATCCAACGTCTCCGTGAAGCCAGCCCTCCTTGTCAATCGTACAGTTGCCTCTGGAATACCCTGCGCCCTCGCGATTCTTACGCCGCGGAGCGCAGATATTTCAATCATGTTCTCGTGCCTCCCCGGAATACTGAATACAGTGAATCTTAGAACACCAAAAAAAAGAAAGAAGAAAATCACAAAGAAGAAGGTGATTTTCCACCTTTCATGATCTGGGCTCCTTGATTCTCCATCTTGGTTGTGTGGAAGTGACACTCCCGTCTCGGGATCCACCACAAGAGTTTACTCCATCTTGGGGCAGTGGCGTGAAGATCACCACGTCCGACTCCCATGATTTAAGTAAGGTTATTTAGTCCCCAGCGCTGTTATACTAAACCCAGTCTAGGGTTCTTGAAGCTCAAGGACGAAGCCGCTGGTCGGCAATTCGAGGTCTTTTACCTTTTGTTCTTCAATCCGCATTTGATGTTGTGCAGGGACTAAGCGAGGGGCCAAATCCAGGTCTTTAATGGAGGAGAAGAAGAAGAAGAAGGAGGTGGTGGTAGGGGCCAAGACAGGACAGGATGGAGTGGAGAGTGGTCAAAAGGACAAGTTTGCAGACGTTGGAGCACTAAAGACAGAACCAAAGACGAAGAGGCGCTCCTCTGGGGCCAAGGCAGGACAGGATTCGGAGGAAGCAGAGCCGACTGTGGTCGACGAGGACCGTCGAAAGGACAAGTCTGCAGTCGTCGAAGATGAGGGAGGAGCACCGAAGACAGCAAAGAAGAAGAGGCGCAAGACATCCTCGGGGGCTCAGGATTCGGCGGATGCAGAGCCGATTGTGCTCGAGGAGCACTATCAAAAGGACAAGTCTGCTGTGGTGCCAGATGGAGGATCACCCAAGACGACAGATAAAAAGAAGAAGCGTAAGAAATCTCAGGAGCCTGAATCGTCGGGAAGGAAGATAGGTGTTATTATTGCGGAGGAGGAGCAGGAACCAGAAACCTTATCCTGGCTTTACGAGAAAATAGAGGATCCGAATCAGTTCTTCCACAAGTTATTGCCACCGTCAAGTGCACAGCAAGTTGTGCGGGCACTTGAAGATGTGTCACCTTCTTATTATCTCCAGCGCCTGGAAGATTTTCAATCCCTCTCGCCGGACATGCTTCCAATCCTCCAAACAGGTACGAAACTGTTCACAAATCTTTAGCCATTAAACAATTTGTTCGTTTGTTTCGTCAGTTCGTCACATCGGCGAACATGTTCGCCTCATCTCGATGGCATGGCAGCGGCACAAGAAAATCGTGCAGCGATTCAGCAACTTAAACAAGGAGGAGGCTTTGATCCAGCTCTGCGATCCATCGCGCTCGAATAAGCTAGAGCTTCCGAGCTTCTCAGCCACCAAGTTCTCTCCACCACTGTCCTTCGATTTCGTTGGCCGTTCAAAGCTCCGCCCACTACTCCAACGAATCAAAGTTAAAAGTGATATCCACTTCCGAGGCCATCCGGGTAGAGGCAAGTCGTATGTTTTGGCAGCCCTGGCGAGCTATCTTCACACTTACGAGCAAGAATGCGGGGTGGTCGTTTATATCCTTTTGTCACGGCTGGTTCAGACGGAGCAGAAGCTGACGTATGTTTTGCAAGCATTGCTTCTGGGCTTTGCTCGACACGGGGAAAAACAACTGGAGATTCTGGCCTGCGACAGCATGGAAAAGCTCGAAGAGTTCTGCGAGAAGGAAAGGCCTTTGTTTCTAATCGATGAGGGAAATGCTCTGGACGTGGACAAGAAAAGGACCTTGTCGAGTGAAGAGGATCGTCGCGTTACGAAAAAATATTTAAGCTGGATTGTCAACAGAGCGGTCTGGTGCACAACGTTCAAGTCTGAGTTCATGCCAACGAATATTGGGTTTTTTCCTCCATTCAATCAGCCATTCGATGACAAAGAGTTCGCTTCCTGGCTATCCGGCTATAACTTCAAAGAACTGGACATCAACGATCTCCTATTCTACACTGGTCTCATACCTCGACTCCTGGCCGAGTTTGTTGGCAAAGGTGATGCACCTGAGGAAGTGCTTTACAGAAGGGACTTGTATATTGCAGACATGAGTCGGGTGTTCCAGTATTTTGTCGAGCGTATGACTATGGAGGAGGCCGACGCTGTTGAGAAAGTTTTGGACCTGAGTTTGGAGGAGATTGGAAGTCTAAAGCTCCCTCCTGATATCTTCTTCGAGCGGACCTTTGGCAGCAAGACAGTCGTCTCAGTCCTTCCTTTTCTGGAGAATCGCCTACGGATCTTGATGGCCGAAAAGCGGAGGCAAGCGGGCCGTGAGAAAGACATACAGGAGTTCGAGATGCAATTGTTGAGGAGCAGGAGACTTATGAAGATGGATTCGGATCGTCAGCCGAACTCGTCCCTCAACGCTTGGCTGGCGGCAGGCCTTGTTCGAGAGTACATTCGTCTGAAGAATAAGTTCCTGACCTGGAAATTTGATACTTTCGAAGTTTACGAGGAAGGCTTGGAAGGGATAGCACTGGAGCAGGTGTCGATTGACCGTCTGAGAAAGGGAGTGTGCTTCGTCACTGCAAGTAGTTTTGACATCGTGATCGCCATTATGGCCGCTGACGAGAAATCCCTGGACATCCACCCCGTGCAGATAAGCGTTTCAAGCTGGAATATGAAGAAAGTCATGGATTCGTACAACGTGTGGAGCGGGGAGACGATGAAGGAATGGTCCCATCCATCCTGTACCACAAGGAGTCTAGACTTTACATATGTTCTCACCAACACTGAAGGAGCCAACGTGGATAAGGTAAATCTCATTCTCTTGTGTGAACTATTGATGGAATTTGGTGTTGTGGGAGATGAATAGGTGACGTTGAAGACATTTGCAGACGTTGGCAAGTGTTTAGCCTTCATCGACAAACTAGTTATTCCCCAGTGGAAGCCTTGTTAGTGTCTTTAGTGTGTGGTTTTTTTGTGTGCGAGTCTGGAAGAATTTTTATTGCAATGAACACTTGGACCGACCCATGGCTTTACATTTCGTTTTCCTCGTTTTTCAGACGTTCCTGAGGAATGCTGGTTTGATTTCAAACCAATGTTGGTCTGGCAACTTAACTGTTAATTTAAAATAGAGCAAAAGGGTATAAAGTGAAAGAGTAGAGTTGAAGTTACTACATGTGAACAAGAAGCTTGCTGGCCTAGAGCAGGGTGTTGAGATTGACTTGGCAGTTCAGCTTTCCTCTTCAAGCAAACCTTAACTTGTATTGTTGAATAAGACATAATATTTGTGAACTTGCATTCTCCTTTTTTATATGGTCAAGCAAGCTTTCAAGCATGCATAAGAGATTTGTTAAATTCCTATCTAAAACTATAGAGAATAGTAGTTTGACAAAAAATTGTGCAAACTTGTAAAATACATGAAAGAAAGACATATGTGTGTTTAAATTGTTGTAACACACATATGTAACTCACAAAATAATATTTTAAACATTATTATTCTTTTTACATAAGTATGCATTGGTACTCATCATGTATACATGACAAAGTTTAAGTTAATGCTATGCATATGATTTTTTCCATTGTAAATTTCAAGTTTATGTCAGTTTTTTTAATACGTTAATAGAATTTAGACTTTGGGTTGTAAACATAACATTTTTCAGCATATGAGTTGAATTTTAAGTAGTTTTTGAATGTTGTAAATTGAGTTTATTTTTATATACTTAGGACACTCTCCTTAGTGAGTATAATAGAAAGCATTTTACAAGTGAGTGGTTTTGAAATAAATAAGTTATTGAATGGGTGAGTGTTAAATTAAAAAAACGTTGTAAAATGAAATTTTTTGCAAATAAATCATGACAACACTAAAAATTTATACATGTGATTAGGACTATGAGAAATTGATCAAGCTAATGCCTTAATGTAGATACAAAAAGATTCATTTACTAAAAAAACCATTACGCTTTATACTTTAAATATATAAAAAAAAATTTACTTTTCACATACCATAAGAAATAAAAGGGATTTGAGATTGCTATTTAACTTAATTTTTTAATAAAGCCACGAAGCTTAGGGCTTCAACGTTTAGGGCTTCATTTTGGTATGGTGGTGGTGAGTTGGGAGGCTGTAGTGGATAGGCTGCATATTTTCTCTCCGACAGAGAAGCGCCAGATCAAGGAAAATGTCGAAGCAGCTGGGGATGTGGAACAGGCTGAAGACGCTGTCGCAATCACCGGTGGTCATGCAGAGAAGCTGATGGATTTCTTCAAGTGGTACGTCTATCCACTAGATGACCCAGGTGTTCCAAAGTTCCTGGAGGATTTAGACAAACGGTTCATCCAGTACAACGGCAGGAGAACCGCAGTCAAGACGCAGGAGTTGCAAATGGTGTCCAGGCAGCAGGTGCAATTGGCTGCCCAATACAAGAATTGGGATCTGTCGAATCTCTTGATCTGGCTCCCCCCTATGGACAACAAGTCTAGCCTCGGCCGGGTAAACTCAACAAGGGTGGAGAGGAAGCAGCTGGAACGCAGCGAGGAATTCGACCGCATGGGCCTTCCTGATCTTCCTTTCTCTCGTCTCTTTGCCGAGAACAAGGAAACTTTTGTAAGAGATTTGAGAGCGGTGGGGGTATTGGTGCAGCGAGTAACCAACGAGATGGATGACGACCTGAAGGAGGACTCATACGCGCGACAGGTCCGCTTTCTCCTCAGCTACGCCAAGGCAATTGCACGCGCACGGAATGTGCCCATACAAATCACAGTGGTGGCAGGCGAAACAAGATTGTCGCTTAGTCAGTATTACAGAATCCCGGATGGATTTTTCCGTATAGGTGCCAGATCGAACGCCGTGGAGCAGAAGACTGAGAACTCACGATCTCTTTTGGAACTAGAGGAGGCTCGAGGGCAGCTGGTAGTCGCAGGCAATTTCCTGTTTTTGGAGCGAAGCAAGTATCACGGAGTTGAGGGAAGGAGCGAGATGTACGGTTTCGTTGGGACTGGACTCAGGGTGCAGTGTGTGTATCAAGCACACGAGTACGACAGGAGACCTCAGACAGTAGACGGACCTTTGCTTCCGTTGGCGGACGGGGACTACTCTCCTGGCAATCTTTTTACCATCAACATGGACATGCCCGCCGTCCAGTGGATAGGGGCAACCCTTGACAGGCAAATATTGGAAGAAGGGGGACTCAGAGCTGTTTCCAGGGATCCTTTTTCTCGTCACAATCTCGAGCTGAAAGCCAGCAGCGGCTACTATGTAGGCGAACAGTTTTTAGAAATTCCAGTGCAAAGCCGAATGGATGACAAGATGACGGTTGCCGTGATAGGAACTGCACTACACACAGAGACTAGTCTGGTTTTCAGAGTTTCATGGCGAGGCCAGGACTGGTGGCTGAAGGTTGGGCCAGACGTGCAACGCCGGGCGGAGGCGCTCCAGACATTAGAGCAGGAGTGGATGTGGGAGAGATGGTTTCAGACGGAGCGAGATATGTTTTTCAGAGCTCAACTCGGAGAGACAGGTTCTTTTCCGGTGATGGTGGAGGGTCAAGGCTTGCAAAACAGGCCAGCGATGCTTGTCAAGGATGTGGGGGAGCCGCTGGAAAGACTTCTGTTCTCCTCCTCCATGACTCCCCCACAAGTTTACGAGATGAGCAAGCAGCTTTATGAAGTGCTGCAATGCTGCGCTTCAAAGGGTGTTTACCACGGGGATGTTTCTCTACAGAACATCTGCTGGAGGGATGGCACCTACAGCTTGATAGACTGGGGCCTCGCATACGGCTCGGCATTTCTAACGTTCGTTGAAGCAGTTGACAGTGCATGGCCTTCTCTTCATGTCAAGACTGCAATCCCTGGGATTCCGAACTGGGAGTTGTCTTCCAACTGGTACTTCCTGGGTATGAGGCCGCAGGATGGCGTCAGCGACTTGGAGAGCCTGCTCTTTTGCTGCCTGAAAATTCTCAACGAGAATTCGCTGCCGTGGACCAAGGCTTCGGAGAGCGGCAGCGAGGACGAGGTTCTCGAACTCAGGCGAAAGTACCTGCCGGTCTTGGTGGCAAAAAACAGTGGTCACCTCTTCGAGCCTTTGCTTGCGCACCTCAAACGGTATGGATGGTTTTCTTTTGTCTCTGCTCTCACTAATTACGTGCTGGCAGGGCTGGGCATCCCTTGATCACAGATAACACACTCAACTTGTCTCTTCACACTAAAGTGGATGATCTTCAGTGCACATCTTCATCCTCGGCTTCTCTTCTGCCGAAAGTACCAGATTCAATGGTACCTGTTTGGAGTTTATAGGATGACAGCGGTACTTTTCTCATTCAGCAGCATACTAGTTTGTTGTTCTTGTAGCAAGATAAGCATGGTGACAATAGTAGAGAAAAAGTGAATTTCACAATGAAATTGGAATGAAACACTTGGAGATTTCACAATATATGGTTTTTGAAAAATTGCCACGTTTCATTCCACATAGTACAAATGACCGATCCACTGCACAAATTTCACTCGTGGCAATTTTCAATCCACTCCACGTGGCACTTGATTGATTCATACATTAGATTTTTTTTCTTGTTAAACGGGGCTTTTTATTTTCCAGCAAAAAACTGGGTGTAGTTTTTAGGTTATGTTTGGGTACATTAATGTTCTTAAATCTTGGTTATATAGTTCTTCTTTACATTTCGACGAGTTTGGTAATATTTTAGGATTATAAATTTGTTTATATCCCAAATAAAAACAAGTTATAAGAATAATTACATTTAGCCAGACAAAAAACAATATAAGAAGAATTACTAAAACTAAATTTTATTAATTAGATGTTCCATGTAAAGTAATAAAAGCATTATTCTTAGAAATTTTTATTTAAATTTTTCTTGGTTGAGTATTAAGTTTTTTAAAATCTTAGTATTCTAAATATATTTATATTCTCAAGTAATACTGCATATAATATCTTTATCAATAATATTTACTTAGTAATTCTTCTTTTTCACCTTGGGAATATATTATTGTTCTAAATAGTCTATACTATTTTATATATATAGTCAAAGGCTAGAGTGAACATAAATTGATATATATCAAAATGTATAAAATTATTGATTTTTATACTCATCCAACATTTGCTGGGCAATATTAGGAGGTTGCAGCTGAGGAGGGAAAACTCTTTTTTTACCACAGCATCTTTCCTTTGCCCTTGCAGCTAGGTAAATTTTCTTTATCACAACTCCTCCTCAACACCAAAGTTTTGTTTGCTCCAGGTTTCTCTTCTTTATTGAAGCTCCTTAGCCTCAAAGTTTGTGGAAGAAGAGAGCACTGGGTGCTAGAGATGGATGCCCAGGAGCTTGTATTGCTCGAGTATAGGGTTTGTGGGTGGGCATGTTGAGTGATCGTCCTTTTTAGTGTTGGATATACAAAGCTTGGCTCATGCATATGCTGTGTGTAGGGTCTTATCCATCCTGTTTTTTGCAAAAAGTTCTCCCTTCTGTCTTTAGGGCTGGATTAGCAATGGAGTGCTATGGCTGGTGCTTATAGAACTAGAGAGCTTGCTTGGATCTCTCATACACTGCACAAGAATTTTCTACTCATTTTTGTAGGATACCCCAACTAGGAATTTTCATTCTTGTAGAGGAAATTCAATTTTCAGGTTTTGCGCTGGGTTTCAACATGTGAGAAGCTGGCTCTCACGATGGTAGCCATACAGCCATGGCTGTGCAAGTGCAATTGAAGGTGTTCATGTTACTAGCAATGGATGACTTTGAACTCTTGATTGTGTGTAAACACCTCTGGGTTTGATGTTGTCCCAGCCATAGTCACTACAGGAACTAGAGCTGTGCTTCAAGGTGTCACCATATGGATCAATGACCCCACTAATTTCCAAATGTTAAAGGAGAAGCCACTTAAGGACATTGAGAATCACAATTATATGTCTCTGCTAGCTAAATTTGGGTGTTTTATATGTTGTTTGAAGTATGTGTCTTTTATATGATACCAATAGCAAAACATTCTGAGCATGGTGAGGTGCTAGAATTCTAACTGCTAGAGTCTTCACTACAAAA